GACCTTTCTTGTAGAGGACGACGAGATCTACAATTTCCATGTAAAAAGATTTCGCTAGCATTAATAGTTTACGAGTTATTGACGAAAAACGAAAAAACAGTTTTTTGCAAATTACTCGTTAACTATTGACGCTAGCGAAAACTTTTTACATGGAAATTGTAGATCTCGTCGTCCTCTACAAGAAAGGTCTGATGCAATTTTTCCGTAAGTCAAACGGTTTGGGAGTTATTGGTCAAAAACGAAAATTTGGAAGAAATTGAAGGGGTACCCCTTGGAAAAATCTCGGAAAAATCGAAAATTTTTTTTTGTTGTTTATTATTAGCAATGTTCTTCCGACGTCTGATTTCTTTTAAAAAAATGCGTTTCTAAAGTGCATAAACTTTTGGGATTGACTGTATAGCCAATACATCCTTAAATCGAACAGACGTACCTGCAGTGATGTTTGCGTCTCCCCAACCAAAATTCCGTGTCGCATCCCATGCATCGACTCACCGCGTGATCGGGTACCCAGAGGGTGGGAGCAGGGCCCAATTCCTCCACCGCTTCCCACGACATGTCCGAGGGTAAAGATTCTCCGTGATCACCGGTACTTTCCACCGAATCGGGTAACGATCCCTGCAAACGGATGCATCAGGCCTCCGTCTCGTTTGCATTAGATAGGACTCGATCTACTCACGATATCGTCGACACGATCGGTCTCCGCGTTGTGATTACTGACTTGTTTGATCAGAGCCATTCTCGTCGTGTGTAACTCCTTCCTCAAGGCTTCCTCCTTCAACTGAAACATAAATAATATTGCGATCACCCGATTCAAAACTCCTATTTTTAAAGTCGATACCTTATGTTCGACGATGATCTGTTGGAGGCGCATCTGAACGTCGCAATGTATAACGGGAAGACCGTCGACGTCGTCCAATCTGTCGGGGTTGTCCAGCACCGGATCTTGATAAATCGGCGAAGCCGGACAAACGCTGCTGGGTGTTCTCGATATCAGCGGCGCGCTCGTATCGCTGACATCGCTACCCTCGTTGTGGTTGTGATTGTAGTTGCGACTGCAAGAGCACACGGTGCGACCGACGGTGCTGTTGTTCTCGACCCAAGGGGACACGATGTCCGGCGGTGAGTCTTTCTGCGTTTCGCTGCTCGACAAAAACTTTCGTTGTTTCCCTCAACGCGGAATTTTGGAACTCGGGCTCGTACGTCTCGGTCGGGTCTCCACTCGATTCTCTAAAGCGTGTGTGTGTACTTACGTTTCTTTATCGGTCGCACCGAGTAAAGAATCATTGCTGGGTATCAGCGTGTCCGTCGAACTGTCCACCGACGGATTCACCGGCGAATCGTTCGAAGCTGTGCAAGCTTCCACACTCGTCGCGTAACACTTCGCGTTGTTCACTTCTTCCGACAAGGTCCTTTCCACCGCGCTTTCGATTCTACAATTAGCCGCGTGTTTCATCGCCTTCTCGCCCGTCTCTGTGTCGAGTGTCAACGAATCGAATTTCCTGCAATTATCGGGTGAATTAAGATCGTTCTCCTTACGGCGGATCGAGGTCACGTACTTTTCTACCGATGCGCTTGGGTCGCTGAGTCGACGATGAAGATAGGCCGCGTGATCGGGAGTATGCATCAGATCACCGTACGAACGCGTTTTACTCATATGCCCTTGCGGCTCCTCGCTCTCTCCACCCTCGATATCTATCATCGTCACTCTCTGCTTGTCGTCCCCGATACCGAGGGAGGTTTCCATGGAACCTAAATATACTTCAGACCATAAAACAAGGTCGCGTACGTTACAACTTGGCCATAACACCTAGCAATGAAAACGATAATCGGTAAAATGATTTGAAGAACACGACGACTTGTCTAGTCCCATATTCCGCGAGCAAATTCGCATATAAGAGCAATACAGCTCGTACGTATACATGACGGAAAAATGTCTTACTCGATTCTTCAAGGGAGAGTACAAATGATTTACGAACGAACTCGAGTTCAGATATCGCCAAACAGAGAACGTACGTTCTCGTATTTTCAACTGTAACCTCTCGTGTCTCGTGTTACAAAGAAACGTGCCGAACAGCTGAGAGTACGTGTGTTGAGCGAGCTTCACCTAAAATCACGTTACGATTAAATGCCGATCGTCGTCCATGATTCAATACCAAGTTCTACTTACGAAATACGCGGGAGACATTTGAAAGCTGCACTTGAATTGTAAAATTAGTTGGTGGACGCAGTCGAGCCACTGCAAAAATACTGGACATCGTTCGTTCGGGTCATCGCAGCCGACCGTTTGACCGCACCGATCTGCGAATTTGTGCCCGAAGTCTAACCATTCTCTCTCGCATAGAACTTGAAATCCCTGGGAACGGTAAAACGAAATAACGAAACGATTATCAAGTGGGAATCGACGAGGGAAGTACCTTGGCGTACCTCCATAGTTCGGTAGTAAGGATCGAGAAGGATCTGTGCCAGCGCCACTATCTGAGGCGTTCTGTCCCAGCCGTCGCTGCAGTGCACCAGCACCGGCCGGCCATCTCTCTCGATTGCCGATGCTACAGTCACAGCTGCCCGCAGTAACCCGGACATGTGCTGCAACCACCGCGTTCCTTCCAAAAGGCTGAGCCAACTGTCGCAATAATATTTATATCAAAATTAAGAAAGGAGACAACGATAAGTAAAGAAATCGATGGATTTACTTGGGTTGATCGGCATCCGATGCGCACAGCTGTCTCACCGCGTGAAAACTTTTTCGTATCGAGTGAATGTTCGGTAAGTTCATGAATTGTATGTCGCAACTGGGATAATATTCGGGACACTCGCAACCACCGCCGCGAGCTCTATTCGCCACTGCCGTCGTATACGATCTGGCGTCGACAATCAAGACTTTCTGCAAACAGGAGATAGTTAATTTTTCGTAATAATTATTGACAGACTCAGTGGAGAAAGATGGAGCTCACTTTCGTACTATTCGTTACAAGACCATCGTCGCCGGCATCCGGGTACATGATGGAGGAATCTACCATGGTCGTTTCGCCCTTGTCGTAGGAACACGCATCCGAGAGGGCTTTCAAGAGAAGCTCGTCTTGCTCGCTTCTGCTCCAGCCGAGCCATCCGACCTCCGGCTGGCTACTTCGCGCTATCACCGCACCGTTGTTTACGTGCCTTTCAAATCATGAAACACGAAGATGTTAAAACGAGACAGGAGCCGCTTAGAATACTTCCCGTTATCTTATGTACCTCCAAACGACGGTAGGGATTCGTCGGAAACTTCTGAATTTGCCCACAGACTCGAGGACATCGTCCGTGATACAAGAAGGAACCAGAAGCAAAGGCGGGTACGACAGGCACATGCGATAATCTTTATTCATTTGACTCACGCGCCATGTACCGTGTAAATTAAATTTTAGTCGTTCCACCTGAAGGACATAGTAGTTCAAGTTACAGGATAGATGATCGTTCGACGAATTCCTTACTTCTGAATTGAAAGTAGCTGTGTAAGAGACGTTATCCTTTCCCAGCTTGCTGTTCTCCTTGCCTTCCTCCATGGACCAAGCGTAGTATGCAAAGGCAAATATATCGTCTATACTCTTCCTCGGATACGTGACTTTGTGTAGTCTTTTAAACCACTCCAGGCAATGTTCGTTCGTAGAGAAGGCACAACTAAAGTTTCGTTCACCGTTTTTAGTCAACTCTGTCTCGCATAGAAGCGTAGATTGATTTCGATTTGTACCTCAATGAGCGAGCATCCTTGCAACCGATGTGCAGGAAGAATATTTCCTTCACTTCCAACTGTTCTATCAAACCGAGGGGGATGTTGTAGCACGCCTGGCTCAATTGCAAGTATAGCCTGTAATTGGAAAGGGCCAGTACCCCGTCCGACGTGCGCCCAAGTGCCACGATGGATTCACCGCTCAACGGTGTGAACGGCACTGTGAGAGACTCGTCTTCGCACTCGACGTTGGCGTGTTTCGGGAACAGCTCCGAGGCATGCAGGTGACAAATCGACTGCAAACTCGTCGGCTCCTCTGAACTCTCCATTTCCGTTCTAATCGACACATCGTACACATGAAACTCTATACGAATCGTTTTACAAAGCTGTATATATTTATTTCGTCAATCTTTCGTAACGCCGCCGCGCCTACGTTGCACATCGTTCGTCGCAAACAAATCGTGCAATTCCACGGATACGTGGGTACGTAATCAGGAATTCGTAGATAGCTCGTACGCGATGCTTTTGTGTTATGCTTACGATCGGACACTGTAATTTCGTGAAATCTGTCCCAAACACGTAACGAGAACCTTCGAACTCGACGCAACGTGAACAACACAAGGCTGCAATTTATTATGATTTATCGATTTCCCTGTCTGTCATTTTTCTCTGTCTATCATTCCGCACGCGAAATTCTTTCGATACGACGATACATGGAACGTCGTTCAAATTTTATCGCGACACGGATCCTGTCCGTTGTTCTTTATTTGGCATCAACAAACAGCTGTGCGCCTAAATAATGGGTTGCAAGTGAAAACCAAGTCTCTAAAGAGAAATTTGTTAGTTTACGAAAACAATAAACTAATCCGATATCACCGACTGTCATATAGACGATTATCGTTGATCGTCCAAGATAGCACGCGATTGATAAACTAAACAAAAAGAGTTGAGAGACGAGGGATAAAGACTTATTTCTTTTTATTAGAATAGACGGAATGCTCTTAGCGTAACATTGGCGAAAGGCTTGCTACGACGACGGTTTCTTACCTTGGATTAACGAGCTTCTTCGCGATGGACGATATCCAACCGTTTTGGTATCTTATACGAAATCCATGAACAGTCGTTTACGCGAGAAACGGAGTGAGGACATTACTCGATCAGGAGAGAAACATTTCCGCGCTTGGGAAGGGATCGGAAGGTCTTGGAATTCGTGCTTGACAAGCGTCGAACCTTTTCTCGATCGCACTTTCAAACGGATACGCGCACAGTTTACAGGAGGAACGATGCCACGGTTAATCTTATGCGAGCCCAATACAAACGCGATCACTTTTCGTCAGTTGGAACGATTCACGGGAATGGCCAACATCACGCGAAACGATCTCCATTAATTGTGTACACTTCCTATTCTCCTCGTCTCTACTCCACCTTCGGCTTGTATAGAGAATAATGATACTGCGAAATATTCAATTTTCGATTAATTTTTATAAAAAACCACTCATTCTACTCTATGTGAAAGTGACAGATTAATCTATATAGAGATCAAGTCATCTTTCCACTGCCCCGTTTCGGCTTCCTTACAGATCATTCATACTGCTCAAGCCCGTATCGCAATTAACATCGTTCGAATATCATATCATTTATACAATAAGTTACAAACTGATATTAAATAGAGAATTATTAATCAAATCCTGTCAGAATTAAATCAGAATCGTGCGAGACTCGAGATGCACGTTTAGAAAGGATCTATAGACCGACACGTGACAACCTGTAAACTTCTCGATTTCGAATTTTAGAAAAATTCTTCGAATATTGAACTTTGTATCCGGAGAATCTAATCGGCGAGGAGGTGGTTGCACGAAGAAACCAGGATTCTTATAGAAAATACATCGAATTCGTTTTTCGTCCGCAAACACCAATGGAGGAGGCGTACGGTGGTTGCGTACAAGGTGAAACTGGACGTGCCCATCACGGATGTTACGGTTACACGTCGTAGTTTATGCATGAATATGCAATATCAAAACAGCAGACGTAGGGCGGCGTGCGATAAACGCATAAAAATATTCGAGTATAATCGCAATTAAATGTGCAATAATAATGCGAACGACGTGCAGCGCGAACGAAACGCGTCGGTGCTCGTGCACGCGAGCGGTAACGAAGCTTTACTGACCGATGATTTCAACAATAAATCGACCGGCACAAACTGTGCTTAAAAGGCGTTGTCAATGTAATAGACGGTCGGATCGGAGCCAACAATAAAATATCGCCAAAGTGGGTTGCCTCTTCCGCATTCGTCCTAACCGTGATCTCTGCGAACGGTTGATACGTCGACGATCGTACGCGGCGCGTTTAAGCATCGATGCGGATGCGAATTAGGAGAGAATGCACTTTAATATTACCGACAGTTTCGTCAGCTGATCGTCGCTTAAAAACAACATGTGAAGGATGCACCGCGAGACGAAGCTTTGAATCGAACCATCCCCGCGGTACTGGTCGCTACAGTCCAATTTATATTTTATAAAACCTTTCGATCCTGTGAGAGCGGAGGCACGGGGACGAGCCTCGCGAAAGGGAAATGGGAAATAAAAGTAGCTGCTGCGTTTATTCCAGTCCTCAGGTTGGACGCAAGGAATTAGGATGTTACACCGCCGAAAGTGTAACACGCGGTCTCGAAGAACACCTTCCCGAAGGAGGTATCAGTGTAAATAATTTACAACACATAAGCGAACGCGAACCAGAAGACTGGGACTCTGATCCATCGTTGCACCCCTGTGCTGGTACAATTTTTATGGAAAGGTCGAAACAAGCCATCGAAAGTACGTAGATATTTTCTGATAAATATGTGGTTTCACAAAACTTTTTACAGGCATTCTTAACACGTGTTTCGTGCACAAATTTACAGTCTTAATATCGTCGCGGTGTCATTGTCTTGTTCGTATTTTAGACGGCATGGTCAGGAAAAAGAGTCAGCACCAAATCGCAGATATAAGGCCTTTGAAAAAGAGTAGCAGTTGCAGTACGATATATTTGGACGACAGCACTGTTTCCCAACCAAATTTAAAAAACACTGTGAAATGCGTTGCCTTAGCTATTTATTATCACATTAAAAATAGAACTTCACATCGACAGATTGATATATTTGACGAAAAACTCCATCCGTTGACGGTAATTGGTTTCTTCTCTGGATAGGATTGGTCAGGGAAAAAGAGAGTTTACGAAATTTCTTCTTTGCAGAGAGAAGGAGTTACAGACGATTACGATAAGCAGAATCCGGAACACAAACAGATTTATAAATTTGTGAGGACATTATTCAACGCTGCTCAACTTACAGCTGAATGTGCCATTATAACGTTAGTCTACTTGGAACGTCTGCTAACTTACGCGGAGATAGATATAACGCCAGCAAATTGGAAACGTATAGTACTCGGAGCTATTTTATTAGCGTCGAAGGTATGGGACGACCAGGCAGTGTGGAACGTGGATTATTGTCAAATACTTAAGGATATTACGGTAGAGGATATGTGAGTTCGCCTTGTCGCCCTTCGTCGAAACTTGTCCACCGGATTGTTCGTTGAACGGGTTTTCTTTTCTTACCAGGAACGAGTTGGAGAGGCAGTTTTTGGAGATGCTACAGTTCAATATAAACGTTCCTTCAAGCGTGTACGCTAAATATTATTTCGATCTCCGCACGCTCGCAGAAGCAAACGAATTGACATTCCCCAGCGAGCCGCTGAGCAAGGAGAAAGCTCAGAAGTTGGAAGCCATGTCCAGGGTGTACGAGGATAAAGTCACCGCCGAGGCTTTACGTACTGGTATTAAGAGATGGTCGAGTTTAGATAACGTATGCATAGGCGGACCTAGACGTAGTATTGCCATTCTATCCTAAATTTCGGATGTTAAGTGAGTACAGTACGTACACGAGTTGTCCATACCTTCTCGGTCGAGGTACGTGAGGAAACAAACAAGTTTTGAAGAACTACTTTAGCATAGTATTAAACAATTTTAAATTTTCATGAGCATATCATTTCTATCGGTCGGTCGTTTCTACGTTGTTTCACTTAAGCGTTTCGACGATGAGACGCAAGTTCTATCGGCTTGTTTGTGCAATTCTGGTATGTCGTTCTCTCCAATAGTTTCGATTTGTATAATAATAGGGTACGGTCAATTATCTCGATTACCTTAAACGATATGGGAAACTAATTTGTCTTCATTTCATTTTATCCAAATAATCGACAGTTACTAAGAGAGTTCGTTTTTTAATCAGGGACCTCTTAATACAGTAAAATAAAATAGTGAAATGTTACATAAGCAAAGGTAACGATAAATTTTTTACTATACTGTCAGTGCTTCTTTGATTAAAAAGAACAAATTGTGATATATATTATATATATA